CCTTTCCATCGGCAGATGGTCTTCATCTAAGTCCAGATTCTTAAATCCTTGTGCCCTTTCCTCTTCTGGAATTGAACTGAGCACCTTTCTGCTGTTACTTGACCATTTAGTCAGTCGAAATCCTCCCTTTTCCAACATGTGTCTTAATTCAGAACACAGTGTGATGGCTTTGTCTTCATCAGAAACAGACTTCAGACAGTCATCAACATAAAAATTTTGCTGAACTGTTTTGACCGTTTCCTCCGTAAACTCATTTGCAAAATCTGTTGCACATCTTTGAAGTGCGTAGGTAGCAACACTTGGTGATGATGTTGCACCAAAAATGTGCACTAACATCTTGTATTCAACCAGATCCAGGTCATAGTTCCCCTCAGGCCACCAGAGAAACCTAAGGAAATCTGTGTCTTCACTGTGGACTCTAACTTGATGGAACATGGCCTCAACATCCGCCATGACTGCCACAGGTTCTTGGCGGAATCTCACAAGAACCCCCAATAGAGAGCTTGTAAGGTCTGGCCCCTGCAATAGTTGTTGGTTCAATGCTGTTCCTTGAAAGCTTGCTCCACAGTCGAAGACGACTCGCAGTTTTTGCTTAGTTGGATGTCTAACCCCATGATGAGGCAGATACCATGTTCTTCCCTCTGGTCCACAGGTATTACTGTCAAGTTTCACTGCAAAACCTCTCTTGAGCAGATCATTGATAAATCCAACATACTCTCCATAAAATTTTATATCCTTTGAAAACCTCTTGCGTAAATTCAGTGCACGTTGTTCTGCAACTGCTCTGTTGTTTGGCATCTTTACAGACGTCTCCTTCACAGGGAGGCAAATGCTATAATGACCATCTTCCAATTTCACAGATTGAGACACCATTCTCATAAACTGATGATCATTCTTGGACATCTCTGTGGCTTCCTTTTGTCCTGCATCGGGAAAGTCCTGCTTGAACTGCAGTTGCCAGAGTTCTTCTAGTTTAGCCACAGAAATTCGATTTGCAGTAATTCCTGACGATGTTTCACTCATCATGTCCATTTTGCCTCTAAGCGGTCCATTCACTGTCCAGCCCAAGATTGTCTTTACTGCATATGGTCCATTGTCCACACTGTTAATCACTTGCAATGGTTCCATAACTTTGGAAACATTTGCTCCAATAAGCAATCCAACCTCTGCTTGGATAGTGGGAATTTTCACCTCCTTTAGGTGGGGCCAACCATCAATATCCTCTTGACGGGGAATATTGTCCTTAGTTACAGGAATCTCTTTCTGTGAATAAACCTCAGAAAGTTCCACAAATTGGTTATTGTCCAAGCTGCTGATCTCTAGACCAGTCACAATGCATGTGTTCACAACTGATTCGTTTCCCATAGTTCGCAACGAAATGTTTACGTTGCGCCCATTCATGTTCAACTGCTTAATCAGTGTCTCTGTAGCAAAGGAAGCTGAGCTGCCTGGATCTAAAAATGCGTACGTTTTCACAGTCTTGGTTCCCTTTTGTGCCTTAACAAACACTGGAATGATTGACAAGACACAATCGTCCCTACCGGCCCCAGTGACACCACAGGTTTCAGCTGTTTGTACAAACGCAGTTGTTACAGATTGTTGATCACAACTTTCCCTTACTGTTTCTTCTTTAACACCCTTGGTTGTAATATGTAAAGCTGTGGGATGACATCTTGAGCATTCTTGACACTTAAGTTTCTGTTTGCAACTGTTACTCATATGTCCTTGCTTCAAACATGCAAAACACAAACCTTTGCTCCTCAAAAATTCAATTTTGTCCTTATGTAGCTTGCTCTTGAATTTTTTGCAAACTGTGAGGCTGTGATGTTCTTCACCACAATAAGCACAAGGTTTGATGGTTGTCTCTGTGGTTGCAGGTGGTGTTTTTGAAGAGTCTTGTTTGTTATCTTCTGTCCTTTGTCGTACAACAGTTGTGGTAAACACCTTCTTTGGTTTGAATGATTCCGTGTATTGTTTTGCTTTTGGTTTAGCGGGTTCTTTCATGGTTATGGTCGTGTCCTTTAAATTTCCGTAGAGGGGATGTAAAAGATACTTAACCTGCTGGTTCAAAAAGTTAACAAAGTCTTTAAATTTAGCTCTTTTCTTGGTCCTTTCTTGCAGGTCACAGGCAGATTTTCTCCATGATTCTTTGATCTTGTATGGCAGTTTATTTGCCAAAGATCTTATATTAGCTGTATTGTCCAGGTCTTCCAAATAGCTAATATCCATCATTGTGTTGGAGCAGCCAGTGAGGAAAAGTGCAAAGGACTGAAGAGCATGTCCGTCTTCTGGTTTAATTGCTGGCCAATCCAAAGCCTCTTTAATGTAAGCCTCTGAAATCTTGAAGTCATCTCCAAAGAACTCTTTTAACATCTGTTTAGCCTTGGTATATCCTGCTGAAGGTTCCATATGAATGCAGCTCTTAACCAACTCGTGTGGTTGTCCACTTGTGTATTGCAGCAAAAACTGAAGTCGATCACGATCGTTATCGGTACGACTCTCGATTCCATGTTCGATGGCTCCAATGAAAGATCTATATTCCAACGGTTCCCCATTAAATATTGGTATGGTGAGATCTGGAAGAAGCGATGCCTTATGGTTCTTCACTAAGTACTCTGTGACATGGGCTTGTTGTGAGACAGCTTGGCAAAGCCCGTCCAGTACTGGCCCATGCTGATCTCTAGGTTCGCCTTCTGATGCAGATCTAGTCATGTGAACGTGTGCAGCTGGAGCAGTGCGTTTAATGCTGGCCGGTTTTAATGTGTTCTGTGATGGTAGCTGCAATGTAGGTTTTATATCTTCTTCCCTGTCTTTCTGATTAGCTTGAAAAATGTCGTTGTTTTGAACGTTTTCATATTTTTGTAAAATCTCCATTTTAGCGTTTGATTCAGCCAATGCTGTTTGCATTGCATGTGTTTCTTTCTTTGCTCTTAAAGCAGCTTCAAAAATCTTTTGCTGAGCTTCAAACTCGGCTTCTCGTTGCTTTTCTTCAGCCTCTATTTGAATCTTCCTGAAATTTTGTTTTGCATGCCACTCTGCTTCTTCTTTTTCAAGTTCTAGCTTTTCCTGTAAAGCAGCAGCCTTTGCCTTTAAAGCAGCCCACTCTAATTCTGCCTTTAATCTCACTGATGAAGATGATGAGACTGAGCTTCCACATTGTGATGAGGAACTACTTTTGTGACTGCTTGACCTCCTAGATGCCATAGATCTACTGTCTGCAGGTGTTATCTGTTTGTCGCACTCCTCAGCTTGCTCAGCTCGATTCAAAACGTCTTTCATCCATCCTTCACAGCGCCAAAAGAAGTCATCCATAGCATCATGCTTTGGTTTAAACCAGTCCTTTTGATCTTTCATGTATTCTTCATCATCCATAACTTTCTGCAGACTAGAATTGAGCTCTTTAAACTCTTCTTGCAAGCCACTAAAATCCACACGAAGCTTATTTTTTACAGTATCAACGTTGGCGTCACTTTCCATTAACTGTTCAATTTGCTTCTTCAAGCTTGTCACGTGGGCTAGCTTGGACCTGCGTGCATGCGTTAGCTTAGACTTAAGATCTTCTGCAGCCTTCTCGGTCATTTTTACTGTTCGTTTTTCACTGTCTCGTTCCTCCATAACGAGCTAAACTTCTATGGCTTATGAATAATGCCAACAGCAAGTCCCGTTTCACTTCGTAGTTCCACCGAGTCACAAAAGGCTTGCCCTTTTTTTTTTACTCACGTCTTTCAGTTGCAGCTGTCCACTATGTTTCTTCTGCTCAACGTCGCTCGTTATTCAATTTACTCCTCTTCCAAAGTCTCCGTGCTGCTTTCTTGAGGTAATTCCTTGTTAGTTGGGCTAATCCAAGTTGCCATGGTCCACGTAGAGCTAGTTTTTTGACTAATATTGATTCCTAATTGTTGAAGCCATCAGCTTGACGCTCTCCGTCTTTTCCCTTCGTCTTACTCGATGACAAAAAAAAAAACCCAAAACGAAAAACAGACTGAATCCTCTTGATAAGTTGAACGGTTTACTTCAGAAATAAAAACAGTACAAAATTTCACATTCCACACTAATAAAAAGTAAGTTAAAAAAGAGAAAGAAAAAGCGAGGTCAAAAAACTGTGTGGCTCCACTCCAACTGCCCAACTCCCTCCATTTAGCCACACCCCAACTCTTCCACTCCAATTAGTTATGCAAATTCACAATATGTCTCCAGAGACTTAATTTAGGCTTCTACAGAATATGTCTATTAAGCAAGCCAAATGTACAGTTTGGTCTGCAGGGAACAAAGGCAAAAAAGTGACCCCACCAAACTACAGTCACTCTGGCTTCTTATAGGGGTGTAGGCAGCACACCCTTGGCTTCCCATATTTAAACATGGTTATCATGTTTAACCACCGCTTGTTTACATCGATCCTCCAAACTATGGTTTTATATATGGAAGCCTGTTGATCTGAAATGTGAGCCTAATCATAAAGGTAGAAAAGATGAATGGATGGATGGATGGATGGATGGATGGATGGATGGATGGATGGGAAGGATGGATGGATGGATGGATGGATGGATGGATGGATGGATGGATGGATGGAATTCTGAAGGCATGTCTTTAATTTGGGACATTAGAGTAAAAGGGAGACTGAATACAAATGAATGCCAAATTATTCAATTCTTGTCTATATATATATATATATATAAGCAAAACAGAACCTTATTTCAGCATCAATCATGCACTTCTTTTATGTATAGGTTCTATTGTGAAATTTCCAGCAATCTTGTCAATTTTTCTTTCTTTTTGATCATATGAATAAAGGAGTCAGTGGAACATGTACCTTGCTATCTCTTTGTTGCAAAATAAGTGAAGGTTTGGAGACTCAAGCATGTTTAAAGCTATCATAACACTAAGCACAAGGATATTAAAGCAAGCATCCAGAGCTGAGATTAAAAAAAAAAAAGAAAAATGGAAAAGAGCAAATTTAATTAACCATCTTAAACAACTTTACAGTCTCTACTCAATATTTGACAGTTTAGTTGTGGTCATGAAGTTTTCTGCAGGAACCACGCGTTTGATTTTTTTCACTTGGGTGCCAACATTTAATGACTTGCCTCCACCTAAATGCACAGATCAGTTAGGTTCACTGATTGTTTCCTTGCTTATCTAACAAACAGACATGCCTGCAGAGTTTAGTTCAACCATAAATTTAAATACAAAGTCATGCTGGTCCCTTAAGTCCATACGGTTTGCTGAGTTTTCAAATAGTGGGTTTGGCTCAACTCCACATTAAACATCTTTGTACTCGTGAGAGTAAACTGGCCTGCCAGGGAAGCACAGCCAACCTTCATAACATACTGAAAAATGCACCAACATCAAGATATGGGTGTGGAATAGGCTTTTGTTTATATTTTATGACCTTTGATCGTGGCGAAACAGTTAAACCATGTCTGAGTGCGGTCAGCAAGGCAGGTAAAACACTTGACAATTAAAATCTACAAACTATGTTTGCAAAAGTATTACTAGGATTATATTTGATCTACGTCAAGCAGCACATATTCATTTGTAAGCATCGCCTTAATTGTGATATTCTTAAGTAAATTCCAATGTAAGCAGAAAATAATTACAGTTTTCCTTTGGAAGATCTTGAAGGTTTAATAAGAAATGTAAGTGAACAAACAACTAAAGAACCCAGCCGAAAGGTCAGAGATTATGTTGCGAAGAGGTTAAAAGCAGGAAAAGTTTTAAAACCATATTCCGAGATTTGGATCTTTCACATAGATCTTGCTCTATTTTTTTTATTTGTTTTGAAAATGGAAAGAAAGAGAATAATATAATAAAACATAGTAAACTATAGGGTAAAGCTAAGCTAACAAGATGGGCAGGAAAGCTTTTTTATTTAGGAAGAAGGCCAAAAACCTTACTCTTATGGTAACTCTGGAGGAGCTGCAGAGATCCACTGCTTGGGAGGGAGAATCTGTAAGCAGTGAAATTATGAGCCATGGACTAAATAAATCTGTCCTTTATAGAAGAGTGATAGGAAGAAAGCCATTACTAGCTAACAGACTTTCAGCTGCAATTGCTTCCACTTCACCACTGCTCACTACTCTGTGCTGTTGTTAATTTAAAATGCAAATAAAAAAAGCATACAACAATGTGCAAGGTGTGTGAATTTTTGCAAGGTCCTGTACAGTAGAAACATTATCCCCCCATGAATGTCATGTAACGCAGGGTACATGTGTTGAGATTCACTTTTGTTTTCTATCAAAAGCATTTTATTATTCTACATTGTTCTGAAATGCCAGCAGTGCAAGGCAAACACTAAACATGGCTTACAGAATCGATTAAAACAAACTTAGAAGAGCTGCACAAACATTTCCTAAAGTGGCAATCGTATCCATCTGCAGATATCCTGTAGCATCTACAGTTTAAGCTTACAGTTTAAAACTGCTTTGCATAAAATTAACCGTTGACCTTTGACACGTTTGTTAGATATTTTTTAATATCATTTTGTTGTTACTTTAGTTTATATTCAGTCTAAAGTATTATTGTGATTTTAGTATAAACTGACCTGGAGGTTACGACTGTCTTCATGCGAGAGAGGTAAAACTTTATGGTTCTCAGACCTTCTTCTCTGGTGTTTATCTACCCGGTCTTAGGTGACAGTTTGACCCAGAGCTGAACTGGGCTCAGATTGTAGATTAGATATCACACCTGGAACTGAGTTGTTGGTCTGTTTGTGTTAAATGTTTTACGACCTCTGTTGTTTGATGCTTTGACAATAAAGAGGGAGCTCACGTGAAAGCAGATCAGAATTCTTTATTGAGCAGCTCGGAGGAGCTGTTGATCGGGATTTCTCCTTCTGCAGAAGCCTGACCATATTTAATTCATATACGTTGTCTGTGGTTATTTTATTGTAGGTTCGAGGAAAATACCTAACAACGTTTCTTTTGTACAAAAGGGGTAGACATGGGAAAGTACCTCAGTCACGCTTTTCTTGCTCTAACGCTCTGAGATTTTTGAGGTAACAGCTTACATTTAAATAAGTAACTAATACTGAATTAGATTTGTCTTCATCAAACGACTCTTGGTGACAAATTACACAAATGAAGTGTTGTAAACTTGATGACATTTAGATGGTTTAGATGGTTGACATTTGCATGTAGGAGGTAGCATGTCTGCAGTATCAACAAAATTGCCAAAAACAATCAAAACTTGCAAATAAGTCTTTCAACACTGCTGCTTTCTAACAAAGGAAATCCTGAGACTGTCGTGGCTGTGTGCATGTGTTCAGAAAATCCTATGCAAATGTGTCCGAAACAGAGAACAGTGCCCGTACTGTTGGTCACAGCCCGCTGTCACAGTATGCGAAAACACTGAGCGAGTACATGAAGAAAGTTAAGTAATAATTTGCAAGTCCATTTTCATAGTGATCAGCAAACTTTCAGAGATAAGCCAGGTGTTCTGCTTCTCTCACGAGAGGTTAGCATAAAGCTGCCTCTGTTTTGAGTGGTGAAATCCAGGGGACTCTCCTTGATATGCAAAACAAGTGAGGGCAAGCAACAAACGGTTCTAGTGACTCCCAAAGCCTCAGCAGTGGCATGTTACCTCACAGAGTTTCAAGGACCATGTTTCCCGCAAGGCAAATTTGTGGTGTGTGAAACCAGAGATCAAAGCTTCCCAGTTCCCCATTGCTACCTGTGCAGAAGCTCCTGCTCTGTTTTGCCGCAGGGCGAGCCAACGAGAGGCAGCTTCCACCTGCTCTTTGTCTGATCCAATGGCGTTTTTATTGCTGATGAACCATGCAGTGCTCGTTTCTGAGACAGAACTGTTTGTAGCCTCCGGGTCAGCTGGCGAGCCAGCCACACAGACCGAACTTTAGACAGGAGTCTGGGCCAGCAGTGGCATCTGAACTCACCGCTTTTTGTCCCATCTCTCACCTCTGCCAGCTCCTGTATGAGTCTGCTGAATTCTTGGGGTAAACAGAAGCGAGGGACCCCTTTGAAGGCATGCGGGATGTCCCGGCTGTGGCAGAGGCCCTGGAAGTAAACAATAGCAACATCTTTGCATTTGCCCTCCAGCAGAGCTGCTTCTAGAGAAGCCAGAGCAGCCACAAACACGGGCTTTATCACAGTCGATGGCCCCTTTTGTGAATCTTCATCCTCAAAACAATTGATTCTTTTGCTTTCTATACGTTTCTCATTGTTATTTGTTTCCACCTTAGACCCAGTCACCTTTAAATAATCATGCACTGGTGCCCTGATTTTGTCAGTTCTCCAACTCTTATCCATGTCCACCCTGTTGACTCTCTGTCTCTGATAAGTGCTTTTAGCTTCAGGACTCCACATGATCAGCATTTTTCCCTGCGCCTTGCGAACAGCTTCCCACTGTCCGTACAGCCAAGGAAGTGGACCCAGGTCTGCCACACTAGCCCCATTCTGAGGCTGCATTTGAGAGCTTTGGGCCCAAAGAGCAGAGTGCACTGGCGCATCCAGTTCCTCATGCAGTATAGAGGCCAAGGTGCACACAGCAGAGACGTGGGCCAACTGATCCGACGAACACACCAGCAGCACCGGCCTCTGAACGGTCAGCCGTCCTGGATGTCAGGAAAACACAGAAATGTGTTCACATCATGAAGGCGTGCCAACACAATCGTTGTGGAACACGAATGAGATGAAACCACAGAACCGACCTGCCATTCCTCTTTTGGTGGCACGGCGAATGAAACATCCAAGTAACGCGCAGATGACAACAAGTAGCAAAATTCCAAATGCGTACACACCCCTCCTGTTGTGTGTGTCTAGAAAAAAAACAAGTCGAGGTTTGTTTTTAATTAAGAGATACATGTGCATTCATGCATAACCCAAAGACACGCAAAGCGGGCCGGGTGTGTAATTCCTTACAGTCTGGGCACAGGATTCTTCTCCCGCTAAGAGCCGGATCTGATTGCCACACCTGTAGAAAAAACAAGCGAAAAGCCGGATAATGAAAATACAACACCCAAACCATAAATTCACAGAGGCTGTATTTTGTTTACCTGCACACATGGCCTCTCAGAAATGTCCTGAGTGGGTACATTTATTCTGATTGATTGGTGATCGGTGGCCTGTAATGGGAGAGAAAGGTCATAACTTTTGATAGCACAAAAATATAATTAATGCATTCCTAAATAAATAAATCCTTCCTCCAACATATCTGCTTTTCTTGCTCTGTGCCTGTCAGCCTTGCATGTCACCATTCATTGTTTTTGCTCCAGTCAAGTAAAGTTGCTGACCTCAGGTACTTTAATATATCCTATCATAAGTCTACGCTTCATGAGATCACCTTCCAAACAACTGATGTTTTTCATTCTTATTTTTTCATTGTTGTTTGGGAATTTAAACTCAATGAAAAGATGTTTCATTGACCTCTTATTTTTAAGTCCTAGGAATAAATTGTTTACTAGATGAAAGCAAATTCGCTCATTTGCGCATATTTCCATAGCAAACGTCTAAATTCACCATTGTTTCTGAGTGGATTTGTCCCGTAGGCACACATCCTGCCTCAGTAAGGAGACAGAGTTGAGCTGAAAACTTTGCAGGCACAGTGGAGGTAATATGCACCAACAAGCTTTGTCTGACTGGCGTGATATGTGTTTCCCAAGACGGTTTATCTGTTCGGGTCAAGAGAAGAGAGAGTGAAAAAATTAAGATAAGCTCCGCGTCGCCTCACCACTCATGTGTAAACAGGTCTGACTCACGGCTCTCGAAGAGACAAAAGATGGAGTGGCTATCTTGGATGAAAAACTATAAAACAAACAAATAAATAAATAAATGTTATTATTACAAAAAAAGTACAAGAGGCTATTTTCCAGAGGTGATCTCACCTGCACACATATCTGGGGGTGTTTATCCATTGCGGATGTTTTGATTTTCTGTAAAGAAAAAAAAAGTTTGTTACAGAAAATAAATTATTTATCAGTTATATATTCTCAAATGGTGCAGACTATTACCAAGACAGGTCCATTGCTCTTCTCCAGAGTGGAGTTGGGAACAGGTATGCAGACATTATTATGCATCTTCCAGCAGAGGGCAGCAGAGACTTTCTTTGTGCATTCAAGACACATTGGGGTCCACAACAAGTAGGACTCAAACACCGTCACCTCAGAGGTCTGCAGGATTTCTCTGTTATCTGGTGAATCATTTAAAATAAACACAGATTTTAGATTTACCTGGTCAAACGCGTAATTTTCTGTTTCATAAGTAGTTTACTTCAGAAAATACTCTTTGGAGGTTTGTGTTGGAGCCTGTCAGATATTTCTCGTTGGCGATGTCTCTCCACCAGCCTCCACCCCAACAGGAACACACTGTGCCCATGTAGATATCAGACAACCTCGATCTCACGCAAAATAAAACCCAAAAGTAAGCACATTTTTTTTCTTTTCTGTGACAATCTGCTTGTAAACATCTATCACCAAAAGCGACTGCGACATTTGATTCCACAAATCTCCAGTACACCCTTCAGCTTCAGTGTGTCAGAGTACAAACCTAGAAGCTCTCTTTTCTGCGGTCTGTCAAATCAAAGCTCACGCCAGAACAGTTGTGCTCAGTTTACAAAGAGTTCATATGCGCCTGCTGCAATGTGTAAACACAGCTTGAGGCTTTTTTCCCCCTGCACGCTGTGACTGCTGAAGTCCCTGTGGCTACATGTATAGCACAACATCATGACACAGTCTCTAAACAATTAACAATGTAACTTTAGAATTTAGCCATTTGATATGGCAACTGAGTTTTAATTAGTAAGAGCCTGGCACCGACGGTATAATTCAATGCCCCGACAGTGTAGAGTGAGGTCTAAAGGAAAGGTTTCTGTGGTTTGTCCAAATGCAGTCATTACATTTATTTAAATCACCTGTTTATGAAATGCATATAGATTCTCTTCCAGAGAGTTAGAGCGGCATCTTAAACTTATTCACAGAATGTGTCCACAGATAAATATAAACTGGACAGAGCTCAGTGCTGCCATTTATGAAGAAACTCGGGAAATCATTTCTTTCAATCAAGCTACAGAGAAACAGCCCTGCTGATGCACCACTTCTTTAATCTCTGTGGATAAAAGAGAGATTGTATCTATTGTTACCCACCCACATTCATTATCTTGCTTAATTTTTACAGTTTTGATCAGAAACTTTAAGAAGATGTGGCACGCTATGAGTAACTTGGGTGACGCAGAGTGTTATCTCTGGTGGAGATTTCTAATACGTCAATAAAAATCGGATTCTTGGACTTTTTTTTTTTCATTGCTTGTTACCGCCTTTGCGACTGATTGTTCAGTTGTCACAATTTAATGAGGACAACAAGAAAGCCTGCTTTGCTTTGGCCGTGATCCAGTCTAAAATCTTTAAAAAAGATACATACACCATTCAAAATACATCAGTTTTAGAATGATGTATGTTGAATGGTTGGCATTCTTAGCCGTAAGACAAATGCTCAGCAAATCTTTTAGCATCAACTTTTGTAGTGATTAGTTTTGTTTTTACTTTTGCACAAAATGATCAGCTAGCATCTTTGCAGCGCAGACATGTCATGAGCACATAGGAAAAGTTGTGAAAAATCAAAAAACTAATGAAAGATTTGCTTTTACTGATGATGGTTATAATATTGTGTTAAATATGTTTTCAATAACCAACTCTTTCTGTTTATGGCTACAGCATGCAGCAGCGCTTGTGCTGTATCAAACTGGCTTCAAATGAATAACATTCTAGTTTGAACTATTTCACTTAAAAAGATTATTTTCTGGATCAAGACCGAGTGTGTGATGCAGACTTTTAGTATTTTAACTGGAAGATTTGAGTCATTTTTGTTAATTAAGTCTTAAGTGTCACAGAGAAGTTGTCTGTCATTATTTCTGTACTCTGTGTGCAGAGTGAGCTGTTTGAAAATGTCAAGACAGTTCACTTGTCCCTCCACTTCTTGTTATTTTAATACCCAGCCCCCTTATAAGGCAGGTTTTTATAATCAACAAATGAGACTAAACTATTTAGATTTAAGTCCCTAGTTTGCAAAAAAAAAATATCTACCCATGCTTTCAGAGGAACAACAAAAATAGGCCAGAGCTCATTTTTCATACTCTCAGCTGAGTTCACAGCAGCTTCCTGTGTTTCCTGTGACACATCCCCCTTCAAATAACAACCTCCATCTCAGCAGAATCAATGCTGGAAACTGGGCTCCCTTTCAAAATGCTCACAGAAATAAAGAGTCAGAAAGACTGTTTTTAAGCGAGCTCAAACATGATCACTCGCATGTATATTTTGAATTTCCCAAACTGACGTTCGATTTGACACATGAAAGGCTTAGATGTTTCCCCTCAGTGAAATTAAGATGATTCATCAGCCACACTCACCAATAAGGCTTTCATTTCGAAATGGGCACTTTTTACTTCTCGATGCATCTCTGTAGGTGTAGTACACCTGCCAGTAAATACAACGCAAATAGAAACACGAAAACCACAGAAACATCAGCAAAATACTGCCCCCCAAACCCCACCCACCCCCACCAACCCCAAAAAACACCTTTTAAAAATCTGAATGGCGCTCACCTCTACACACACACAGGGCAGCAGATAGGGGACGGTGATAACAGCTGAGCGGCTCTGCAACAAAAAGAATGCACAGGCAGAAAGAAGACGTGAATAAATAACATAAATGTCATTTTTATTGTGATGAACTAGCCTCGAATGCTCACTGTAGTTAGTGCATCCCCACCACTGCAGAAGTTATTATTATTATAACACCATTTGACTTTCACCAGGGCTCCAGAATCCACATGGACTGAAATGGTTTTGGACGACTTATTCACAGACAGGCTGAAGTTTGGCGAAGGAGCTGAGTCAGACAAGAAAAACAAAACAGCAGCAGGATGTGAGCCAACATGGTGGGGTAATGGCTGAAAATGAAGGAAAACCTAAATAGAGCTTATGTAAAGGAATGTATTAATATGCTTTCTTTACATTTGTTTGTTATGAAGGCATTTATTCTATGCAGCACCAATCAACCTCCAAAATCTGACGTTTTCTGCACATATGCATATGCACAAATGCACACCTTTCATTCTTCTAACTGAGAAAGGCTGCTGAGAAAGGCCTTCATCCCTTATACAGCAGGTTTTTAGAAACCATTAGACTAAGAGGAAAGAAGCTTTTATCCCATATGATGGTTAGATTGGTAAAACATGAACAAATGCATTTCTTATTACTCTAATCCTGAAACTGTTAATGTTAAAAGCACTTCAATACATATCAAAGCATGTCTTAAAGTTGATGATGTTACTCTTCTAGTTTCTATCTGTCTTTTCAAAACTACTCGTGACGGAGACCAAAACAAGCGTAAGAGAGTGTGGAAAGGGTGATATCCGAGACTCAGAAAGCAGGTAAAAGAAGTGAGACAAAAGCACGACAAAAGATCATATGAGATATTCAAAATACCTTACCTGGAACATCGTAACGAACGCTGCAGTTTATCGATTTTGAGCTGTACGACACAGAAGCGCTCTTTCTAGAGTAAACTTTGAAGTTAAACTCCAGCTTCCACTGAAAACAAAAAATCCCCAAAAAAGATAAGTACAAAAAAAAATTTTTTATATTTGCCTAATTCTGTTTGTATTACATTTTAGACCACAAAAATCTGTAAGTAGTTACCAGGTGAGCGTTGGTCAAATTCTTGCAACACCTGATGGATCCACTATCACTCTAGGGTGCAATGAAAGACGTCATCATTGTAAACGGTACATAAAACATTACAAACTGTGATATTATGACAATGTAAGCAATAGTCAGAGGCAATGAGAACCTTTATTTTGCAGCTCCTGTGCGGCTTGAAAACGTCTCTAGAGATTCCGTTCACTTCAATCTGATGAAAGTCTGGAAGACAGGAGTTTGAGAAACCTGTCAGTAACTTTGTCAAATAAACCACAATGAAAGGTTGATAAAGCCAAAATATTTACAGATGAATGCACAAATAATTAAAGATGAAGTTACAGAACGTACCAGAAGCATTAATCCAAACGTGGGCTGTTATCATTTCATAATACCCACTGCTCTCCTCTATAGCTGGGGGCGGCTCAGAGGTCAAGTTTATGGGACAACGTCCCTGAACAACATCTGAGACAGCTGTGGTGCAACATACTGCCAACAAAAGATCTGTTAATGTTTGGAAACTGGATTTTCCTGTCAGAAACCAGTTGTGAAACACAAACAAAATATGTCTGCTTAATTACATTTTAAAATGCAAAATATTTTATTGAAAAACCAATGTATTTTATCTAATTTGTGATTAAAAATGAAAAAAGAAGAATTCTAAGTTGTTGTTTCTTTATATATATATATATATATATATATATATATATATATATATATATATATATATATATATATATATATATGTGTAATTTAAAACAATGAAAACAAACATTCTCCTCCTTCATACATTTTACACCGCCTGTGCATCCTAATAAGTACATGAAGAGCATCCTCTGAACTGTGACTTAAAGCTGGAGCCCTTAAGTTCCAGCCTTCACTACAACCTGCATTTGCAGACTGTGGTGAAAGCTGCTGGCATTTACTTTATTCCACTTCTGACAGTTTGGATCTCATTAACTGTGTTCCAGCAATGCAGCTTATTTACAGACAGCAAGTCCAACGTTTTTGCAACTTGCAACTGGAATCCTCCTATCTGGAATGTGACCCAGGTCCGCCTTACTTAACCTTAACACATAGGTCTCATTTGTTTTCTGCCCTATGTGTTATCATTCATCTGTATCGGTTTGGGAGCGATGAGGTGTACAGAGGAAACAGAGCCTCACATAAAAGGACGGACGGCGGCTTAGGAATATGGAAAAAGCCTGTGAGCTGATTGCATAAGCAAATAATAATAATAAAGCAATTTGAATTTCAATTAATCCATTTTAATCACAAAATCAGAGGAATCAATGAGCAATTTTCTATTTTGAGTCAAATAGTGTGTAAAATATCCAGGATTGTTGAACTTATGTTGAAGAACAGTTAATGGGAAAACATAAAATAATTGTAAATACATAAATTAATTAATTAATAATAATAAACTCACCGGTTTGAGGAGCCTCCTGAAATTAGACAAACAACAGAAAATCGGTTCACAACATTAAAGTATAAAGTTACATGTATGAGGAAAAGAGTCATTCGTAAACATGTTATCTAGACATTAACGCCTAATATCAACCAGTAATGATTGAAACCCAGATGCTGTCATTGAATCCGCTCTGTGTCGAACTCACCCAGCACTTGTCGGAGCCCACCTGCTGGGAGCCCACCTGCTGGGAGCCCACCTGCTGGGAGCCCACCTGTTGGCAGCACAGGGCGGGAAGCAGCAGCATCAACGCGGCGCTGAAAGTCATGTCTGGCGGGTTTGAGACTCGAAGAATCGGACGCGGGGATGTCTCCGTTAAACACGCCGCTGCTGCCGCAGCTCGAAGCCGGTCTCCGCCGCAGGCTGCTTTCTGGTAACAGCCGTCAGAGCCGCCGCCTCGCTGGGGGTTTTCTTCCTCCTCCGCTGCACTGAGGCTTTATTTCCCAGGCTACTGTGGCACCGAATGACTAAACACGAGGGCGTCATTCCCCCCTCCTTCTTCCTTTCTTTCTCTTTCTTTCTTTTTTTTTCTTTCTTTTTGAAGCAATCGTTCCCTCTCCACAAATGTGTCAACATTGCTTTCACAAAGTGGTTTGTATAATATTCACACCTATTGGTTTCTCTATGCCTCTGGTGTTGCATTAAGTTTTTAAAGGACAGCATGCGGCTCTCTCTCATCGTGATTCAGTTCAATTCAGTTTCACTTGCATCGTCAAACAGCAACAAGTGTCCCTCTCTGGACACTTTAAAATCATTTCAGTTCAGTCACGCGTCCATTCAAGTTGTTGCATATGAATAAGCCTTGAGCTTGAAAATGAAAACAAGATCAATGCTTGTGTTCTGCATGCCGACTGCAAAGCTCGATTTTGTTTCCACCTGTGTTCCCCTACAGCAACCTGCAGGTTGAACCTTGGAAGAAAGCGGTATTTCTCCGCATTCTTCCAAGCATCGATTTCAAATCCATTTTGCGTCGTTTTCATGGAGAGCACGGATATGAGCTTTCCTGTTGAGGAATTGTTCTGAGCTGCAGATTTCTGTATCTCCTCCAGAGTTTCCATGGTCTTTCTGGCTGGTTCTTTTATTGATCCTTTCCTTGCAGCATATCTTGGTTTACAGCCGCGCCATATTGGCCTTGTCTCATAGGGTTTGCAGTTGCCTGTCCTCTTAACATTTAAACTTTGCAAGCACCGTTTTACCTCACAGAAACAGAACAAGATGTGTTTTCACGTATGTCCTAGGACGGCTTTGATTGCAGTGCTTTGCATTTTGCTGCTTCGTGAATCCGCACAAGAAAATATTTCTGCAGAAACAAATACTGAATACAGTCATATATACAAACTCTTTCTGAGGAAAAACAAGAGAAAAATGTAGGGTAACAAAAACGAAACAAAAAGATGTACACATTGGTGTGTGTTTTGGCTTCTCTGCCAAACTTTCAGGTTCTATAGAGGAACACTTTATCTAAATGTCAGATTTTCCGGGAAAGACGGTGAATCTCAAATTTCTCTCAGAGGCTACAGAGACGTTGCATTGCAGGTTTGACTGGGCTGTTGGCTTGATATGACAGACTTATTGTGTAAAAGACACATAACTGTGTTACTCAGAACTGTGGTGGTGATAACAATGATGATAATAAGACTATCTCACTTAAGTTGGTTCCTAAAAACATTTGAGAAGACAATTTAGAAGATTAACAAGTAGTGAAGAACGCACATCTTCATTTCAGAGGGGAAACATCCAATGTCGGATGTATATTTTTGCTACACTACTATAAAACCATAACCATTCCCAAAATATAAAAAAGGAGGAGGCGTGGCTTCTATATTTAAGAAAACCATAAATTGTAGTAAAATTTCTTTGGGTCATTTCAGTTCTTTTGAGTATCTTGGAATTCAGGTTAAAGGCTTCAAACGAACTTTGACACTAACTTATACAAAACTCCAGCATATGTGGAAAATTTCTTTACTGACTTGAATGATCTTTTATCTCTCATATGCATTGATTATGATTGTTTAATAATTGTTGGTGATTTTAACATTCATGTGGACAAACCCGAAAACAGAGGAGCAAAAAAGCTCTCTGATATTTAGAAAATTTTGGTTTAACATGTCAAACAAGCAACACACACTCAAGGACACACACTGGACCTGGTTATCAGTAAGGGTGTGGATATTTCCAATGTCTCTGTAACTGATGTCGCCCTGTCTGATCACTTCGCTGTTATCTTTGAAGGTTCTTTATTCTTTGACCCACTTGGACAAACAGCTACTGTCACAAAACGTACTTTCACAGAAAAACACAGCAGAAACATTTAATCAAATCACTCTTCTTCCTCACCCTTAAGCTGTAATGATGTAGATCAGTTGGTTGATGATTTTCAGTCTAAAGTTTCATATATCATTGATTCTATTGCTCCAATTAAAGTAAAGGTTGTGTCTGGCACGAAAAAATCTCCATGGAGAAAAGCACAAACAGTTTGTTCTGCAAGACAACTCTGTCGCAGAGCAGAACGAAAATGGCGTAAAACTCAACTTCACGTTCATAATGACATCTACAAAGAAAAACTACGTAACTATCACTTAACACTAAAACATGCAAGGGAGGCTTTCTTTGCAGATGTCATAAACAAAAACATCAATAATGCTCGAACTTTATTTGCAACAGTTGACAGGCTCACAAACCCTCCTGTGACGTTACCACCTGAACTCCAATCTAATGTTGCCTGTAACAAGTTTTCCAGCTTCTTTTCAGAGAAATTCAAAAAATCAGAGGATTAATCTGCACATCAACTTCAAAGCCAGAACCATTGCTGTACCAAAACAAAACAAATACAGAAAAAATGACCCACTTTCAACTACTTAATTATAAAACCCTAGAAGAAATTATAAGTCAATTAAGTTCAAGCTCCTGCTGTCTGGATGTCCTTCCCACACATTTCTTTAAGAAAGTCCTGCCTGTTATTGCTACTGATCTGATCCAAATCGTAACTCATCACTCACATCAGGTGTTTTCCCCCAGGCTTTGAAAACAGCAGTCATCAAACCACTGTTAAAAAAGAACAGCCTGGACAAATCGTTATTGCAGAGTTACAGGCCGATCTCAAACCTCCCATTCATCAGCAAAGTTATTGAAAAAACTGTGTGTAAACAATTAAATAGTTTCCTCATGATGACCAACTGCTTTGACACTTTCCAGTCTGGTTTTCGTGCTCACCACAGCACGGAGACTGCCCTCGTAAAAGTATTCAACGATATCCATATAAATACGGACTGTGGCAGAACCACAGTGCTGGTTCTGTTGGACCTCAGTGCAGCTTTTGACACTGTCGACCACGACATATTATTGAATCGACTTGAAAGTTGGGTTGGACTCTCTGGTTCGGTGCTCGACTGGTTTGAATCCTACATAAAGAACAGGGATTTCTTTGTTTCAATTGAAAACTTCTTATCAAAGAGGTCAAAGGTCACATGTGGGGTACCCCAAGGTTCAATCTTAGGACCCCTCTTATTTAATATTTAGCTCAGGTCATAACAGGAAATAATATTAGCTACCATAACTATGCGGATGACACACAGCTCTACATTACGATGTCACCAGGTGACTCTGAACCCATCCAATCACTGAATAAATGTTTAGAGCAGATAAATGTGTGGATGTGCCAAAACTTTCTCCAGCTGAACAAAAACAAAACTGAAGTCATTATTTTTGGACCTAAAGAGGAACGATCTAGAGTCGATTTACAGCTTCAGTTATTACAACTAAAAACTAGCGATCAGGCCCGAAACCTGGGAGTAGTAATGGACTCGGACTTGAACCTCCAGAGCCACATAAAGATGATTACAAAGTCAGCCTTCTATCACCTGAAGAACATCTCCAGGTTTAGAGGACTAATGTCTCAGCCAGATCTAGAGAAACTCATTCATGCGTTTATCTTTAGTCGCATTGATTATTGTAACAGGGTCTTCACAGGCCTGTCCAACAAATCAATCAAACAGCTGCAGCTGATCCAGAATGCTGCTGCTCACGTTCTCACTAGAATCAGGAAGATAGAGCACATAACACCAGTTTTAAAGTCTCTCCACTGGCTCCCCGTAGCTCAAAGAATAGATTTTAAAATACTGTTGCTAGTTTATAAATCACTGAACGGTTTAGCACCACAATATATCAAAGATCTGCTGTTGTTGTATCAACCTTCCAGACCTCTCAGGTCTTCCGGTTCTGGTCTGCTCTGCATCCCCAGAACCAGAACCAAGACAGGAGAAGCAGCTTTCAGCATCTATGCACCAAAACTTTGGAACAAACTTCCAGAAAACTGTAAAACAGCGGAAACCCTGACTTCTTTTAAACCGCAATTAAAAACACATCTGTTTAGAATTGTTTTTGAAATGTAATATGTAACAATGTATTGTCTATTATATGTTGCATGACTTTGTGTTCTTGTGTTTATAATGTAAAGCACTTTGAAATGCCTTGCTGCTGAAATGTGCTATACAAATAAAATTTGATTGATTGATTGATTTTTGCATTAATAGGTTTTAGAGTTTTTCTCTTTTTGGGGGGTAAGGAGGTATTTAGGTTTTCCTTCATTTTCAGTCAGTTTTGAGATTTTTAAGAGCTTTGAGGTGGTCACAGGAAGTTGGAAAACCCAGCATTGTTTTGAGATTAAAGACTGTGATGCACTGTGCCAGCCATATGGAGAGGACATCGATAACAGGAATGAGTGTGTGACGGACTACATGCAGTTATGTTTGGACAACCCCATCCTGACCAGTGAGATATTCTCCTAGATCACTAGATCACAAGTCCACTGCACGCCTCTCGACGGTACCAGATTTGCATGTCCAATACAGTGACATTGTGCAATCAACCAGCACTCAACACTAAAAGTGCTGAGTAAATTTCTCTTGTTTGCCAACACACAAATGCATTTACTTGTAATGTAATTGCATTTGCAAAAGAAGTTTCTAGCAGTGAAACATTTTCCCAAAAACAATCGTTCTCCCTGTTGAAATAAGAGGTGATAAAGAAGTTCAACAGCTGTAGTGAGAAAAACTGTATTTGAGATTAGGCGCTTTAAATAAACAACAAGGTAAAAAGCTTTTACTTTTTGGTGGCGTGATTTTTTTTTTTCAAAAGAATTATCTAACATTTTGGTCTTTTAATATAATGCGTGTTTAGGGAGAGGAAATGGATATGAAAGAGTTAAACCCAAAAACGGGTCTAGAAAAAAAAAGCAAAATAAAAGATCAACTGTGTTTCCTCGCCATTGCAAAGTCACCTCCTGTATCAGGTGCGTCCTGTTAAAACCACATCGTAATATTTATCAGATGTTTCCACACGTCTTCTGAGTGGCGCAAAGCAAACCGAGAGGCTTTAACTGATCGTTGGGGTCTTATCACACTTTCTCGTCTGAAAGGCAG